TTTCCTCTACCTCCACAGCCTCGATGATTACCTCATTGCCCACCTTGTGGATGCCCTCGACCATTATTACCATTCCCCGCGGGTACCACTACTCTAGATTGCTACTGCACGGAATCTAACACACGCGGGTGGGGACAATCTCTCCTCATATGCCCAGGTTCTCCACAGTTGTAACAAGTACGATCAAAAGATGGTATGCCGCCTGTCGAAGGCGCGACTCCCTGGCTATCCTAAAAATTATGATATGGAGTTTTCGAGTAACTACTTGTAGAGGCAGGCATAGCGGACTGAATTGGCTTTGGCTGGAAGCATTGGACTTCCGGACCCCTTGGAATAAGAACCTTGAAAGTTACCCGAGTTCTTGGCCCTCTTTGTCCATGCCTTAGCTTGACCGTCTCGCCTCACCCCTTCCATTTTCTTAACATAGTATGTCACCTCATTACAGCTTCTCCCTGCCGAAGTCGTATGAACAAATAATACTTGCAACTCAAAATTTAGTCCCCTAATATATAATAAGATTCTCTCTTCCTCAGTAGTCACCAATTGAGTAGCACATCTAGACAAATCATGGAACTTGGCCTCATAAGCAGCCACAGTCATATCACCTTGCTCCAATAGCACAAACTCATCCTTCTTGCGATCCCTCAAAGTTCTAGACATATACTTTTCTAGGAACAGAGCATGAAATTGGGTCCAAGTAAGTGGAGGTAAAGTAGAACATATGCACTCCATATAAGCTCTCCACCACTGCTTGGTCTCACCTTGAAGTTAGAAGGACACAAACTCAACCCCATGTTAATGAACAATACCCAATTTATGCAGCCTCTCATAGCTATCTAAGATGAACTCATAAGCATCCTCACTCTCAGAACCAAGAAACACATGAGCCTTTAGCTTCAAAAACTTAGTCAACATTTCATGCTCATTATCAGTCATGACAGAATCCAACAAAGGACGAAAGAAAGCATCATTACCTCCCGTTCTAACCGTCTTAGGCGCAGTTCTAGCAATAGGACGATTAGTAGGAGCTGGAGTTGCTTGAACAGATAGAAGCACTCCAGGACCGGCCAATCATTTCAAGAACGACATAATATGTTGAGTTAACACTGGATCCAAAGGAGGAACACATGTAGTCCCAGCCTGCACCTCTTCCTCTTTTCCAATCTCCTCAATATCCTCGACATCCACATTCTCCTCTTATCTCTTTATGTTGCGCATGAGAGTTCTCGTTCACAGGAACATTCCCAATAGGTACCTTATTTCCAGTGGGTGCTACTCTTCCACGACCTCTACCCCTAGCTCTTCATCTACCCATGCCTCGACAATGACCTCTCGCTGCAGACTCCTCAATTGGAGCATTGACGGGAGCTATGGGCCTGACACCATTGAATCTAGTATTAGCCATCTGTGGATAAAGGAGTGAAAGAGGTTAGTTACCAATTCGAATCGACAGATACCAATTCAAATTAAGTTATAGCACGAAAGGAGACAAGAAAAAAAAAGAGAGATTTCCTAAAGTCCTATAGCCTCTCGAAGAACAGTAAATGTGTACCCCTACCGTTCCGTGAGTCTCTACTAGACTCATTTTGGTACATCGAGAACAATCAAACTAGGCTCTGATACCAATTTTGTCATGACCCAGACCGTCATGATTGGCACCCATACTAACACTCCGGTGGGAGAACCACTACTACAACCCAACCAAGCAAATAATCTAAAAAAAGGCGTTTAAATCAACACTAAGGAAATAAAAATAGAGTTCCCATAAACTATAACAAAAGTCTAACAATAAAAACTAATAATGCGAAAAAATAACCTAGAGCCTGAAAGTCAATGTACCAAAACATTTTAACAATGAACAAGTCTAAACAATGAAGGGGTACAACCCCAACTAATGAACTAATCTACTAACTAAAACAAAAGTCTAAGTCTGGAAATGGTGCCATAGACGAAAGAGAATTTCATGGCATCCCGGAAGAATTGGCTCACCCTTGAATTCGAACGATCACTGATCTCCTAAGCGAGGTCTGTCAGTAGCCGGTTGAAGATGCCCTGTACTCAACAAAAATAAGAGGAAGTGCAGTATTTGTATACAACCACAGTGTCCTGGTAGGATCACGTGGCTATCCCACTAGTGCAACATAAACAATTCAAACAACATTATAATCACATGCATATATATCAACATATAGAACATTATCAACATTTACGAACAACGACCAACTTCACATTTTATATCAAATCATTGGTCCTCTCATGGAACCCAAACCAAAATAATTAGCATGCCGAAACGTGGCAACCGATCCCATATTTATGGCGGAATGTGGCAACCGATCCCATTTTTATGCTGAAACGTGGCAACCGATCCCATTCACACACTACAATCACAATCACAAGTATATTATCAACATCATACATTTAAGTAATGATTTCATGGCAATGATAATTCATCTATCTCATTTACAACAAATGTGATCAACATTGGAACATTCATACATATAAAAGTATCATAATGAAGCAAGAACAAGCATACATCACACAATCATAGAATCACAACCATCACCTACCTTGAAACAAGCTTGAAACCCTAAGAAACTTGATCCTTCCCTCTCCAGATTCGTTCCGCTTGTACTTGGTTTACAAACAATCATAATAACACGGGAATCGACAAACAATCGTTAATTACCCGAAACTATAACAATTCTATGAACCCTAGATCAAACCCATGATCCTAATTATCCATACTAGGGTTGTTTCCATCACATAATCTATAACAAAATCCTCCCCATCAATATTCACCCATTCTATTACGTTCTACGGATTGAAAAATAGATTCGGGGAGTGAAAAGCTTACCTTTAGCCCCAAGAATGGTGAAAAATGAGTAGGAATCGCCTGGGAGTCGTTCCTTAGCTCAAAAATTCAAAAAGTGCATAATGAGGTCATTTAGGGATTTATTAATGACTTTAACTCGTGTCAGGCCTGCCACAACGGCCACCACCCCACCACAACGGCAATGCCAGAACTGCAAAAATCCCCGCCAAAGCAGCCAAAATGAAACAGAGAGCTATTTTAAGAATTCCAAAATTCTCATTTTACAACATACCTCTAACCAACAACGCTTAACAATTACCCTTTATGCTATGATCGATTTCGGGAGTTCTACTCACCCGAATTCAATTCCGTAAAGTCATATGGATTCCTTAACGAGTTATCTAACTACTCAAGTAATCAAAATCATAAATGTTCACCCAATTGTTACTAGATTTCCCTACACCTCAATGACTCCAATTTCGTCCAAATCTGGACAAGGTTGCACTACTAGAAAATAGGTCTGTTGCAATGCAAGAAAACTCATAGCCATAGATCTGAAGAGCGTTGCAATAGCCTTATGGCAATGGAAAAGGGTGTGTTGCATATAAGTGTGTTGCAATACGTCTATAGTAACAGTTTTATGCAACAGTTTCTAAATTATTGCGACACGCCTATCTATAGCAAAAATTATTCTTTATTCTGTGACAACACTTTTCAATTGTTAGTGCAACAGTTACAGTCCGTTGCAATAGATTTATTCCAATAATTTGAAACCGTTGCACACGATCTACCACAACAGCTTTATAATATAGCTCAGTCAGAGCTATTACAATGGTTCTGCTAAACTGTTGCAACACTGTTATTAAGCTATTGCATTAGGCCTTTTTTAATGCTTATTGTAGGCTATTGTACCAACTATATAATACCATGTACTTTTGCAATAAACTATAATATAATGATAGGAAATATTAAATCAATATGTACTTCAACTAGTGTACTCATCCATATATTACAGATAGAAACACAATATTGATTGACAATTCAAGAGTTAACATACATTGATTTTCGCAAAAGTTAAGCCCAAACGTAAAAATAGTCATAAAATGTTCAAGAGTTAGCATACAATTAAGTTTACAAAATTAAAGCCCAAAAGTAAAAATAGTCCTAGAATGTTTGTAGATGTAGATCAAGCAATTCTCTGTATAGGTCTTCACTACCTTCATCCCCACATTTTTCATTTTGTTCACCTACAATTTCAAAAGGGACAACAATTAAAGATAGGGAAAAGGAAAGAAAAACTATAAAAATGAAAAGGGAAAATAAATCATATAACTCCCATTTTTTACTCTTTCGTAATATAACCTATAGACCACATGCCTTTTTTAGAAAGTAAAAATAAAAGGGTTATTTATCTCATACATGGGCCAAAGTTTTTGCACAAGAGCAGTTTTATAAGAAATTGACTGACCCCTAAGATGCCGCTTTTAGAAAGAAAATCAAAGCTACTTCGTAATATTTTTTAGAAATGGCAATTTCTTCCTGACATAGTTTTTGTTCCAGAATAATGATACTAACCAATCAAAGAACCTGCTTTTCATAACCCATTAATACGCTTTCAACGGTAAGTTCATCAAACTGAATTTTCAACTTGAGCAAAATAAAAATAAATGTCAATGGTTCAACAATAAAACACAATATATATATAGACTGTTCTAAATCTTAAAAGTTTAGAGTGTCTTTTATCATCATAGAAATAGGATGATGAGCTTTAAAAAGAAGCCGAAAGTGTATATATTTAGTAGATTCAACAACTCAGGTCAATATATTTTTACAAAAAATCAACAATACCTAAAATCAACCAAGAATTGTGTACACATTTTAAAACATTCTTAGTCAATTGATGTTTTCAGTTTAGTTCAATACTCCAAAACTATGCAAACAACTGTAGCACTAATCTCGATACAATTAACTTTGATAAAAATAACAAAATGATTGCAGATGCACCAACAACAATAGAAGAAGATTGCAAGTGTAGTAGCACAAGAAAAAAAGTAGAAGAAGATCAACAGATCAAAAGCAGATGAAGCTGAAGCAAACAAGAAGTTGCAAAAGCAATAGTAGAAGAATTGGAAGAACAAGACGGAGGATTCTTACCTTGATTGTTGCAACGTACTGATGGATGATGGATTGACCAAATAGTTGTTTCTCGTGTTGACGAAGCATCAAGTAATGTTGCTAAAACATTAACATCAATTGGTAGGCCTGAACGATGGAGTTTTGTTATGACATCTTCTAAAATTTCTTGTCTCATCATGATCTTTTGTTCTTCAAATTGTTCCTTTAGTTCCTCAATTTTTTCTTCCATTCTTAGCATTCTCTCTATTATCTTTTTCACGAGCTTATTTGTTGCATTTGATGAGGCTTCGAAAGTCCCACTTTCCCTTTCAAAGTAGTTTTAGTAACCCTATTCCATAAAATCTCAAACATCCAGGATGTTTCGATCCCGTGACAGATGGAAATGCACCAATTGTCTCATTACCATCTTCATTTTGTTGCATTTTAATATTCTCCATCTCAGCCTATAATTTTTTTTTATTTTTTTTTAAAAAAAAGCGAATTAAAGTATACATAAAAAGACTCAATACGAAAAAAACTAATTTAAATCAAACAAATTAAAAATTAGATAGGAGTCTCACAATTGTACTCTTCATCTGTATCCTTGAATAATCGATTGGGTTTTCTTTTTCTTGTAACCACAAAAAAATTCCTCAAGTGATGGAGGATCATGAGTTTCCCTCTCTTTTTCCTAGACACATTAAAAGTGGATATCAAAAATATTCATTAAATAAGCGACATGTATATATTCAATGTCACACAACAGCTCATTCCAAATCATTGCGAACTAAAGCAAATCTGTTTTTGCCAACAGTAAGTGGATTCTTCAACTTTTTCCAATTCTCACTATTGGTTTTGAACATTTTCTACAAATAGAAGAGAATATGTTAGACTGGTGCTCTCAACCCAAACACATGTTTATCTTGTGGTTAGCTGTACAAAGAATATTATTGATAAATGAAAGATTAGCTAATATGCATATCCCACAGACAAAGTGATCGTCCAGATCAAGAAAACAATTGTAAAGAAATTTGACCTTCTTAAGTTTTCTAGGAAAGCTCATAGGTGTCAAGATCAATAAAACTCATAAGTTTTCACATTTAACCGAAAAATACTAAAATAAAGGAGGTTTTTCTTATCTTCTCCCATGATCGATCGATGAGTCAGATCATTTTAATTGCGTATTATCAGCTAGTAAGATTACCTGAAATTTTTCTGAGTTCCAGTATCTAAGAAGTTCCATAAATTGAGATTTTGGAACATCATTAGACCTTTTCTCCATTCAAATTTGACCATTACCATAGGCATCAAAGTGGTGTGTTTTCAAATCAAACTTACGCCTTCTCCAAGCTTCTTGAATTGTTTTTAAAGTCCATCTATTTTCAATTTTCAAAATATCATATTTCTCCTGAAAATTGGGACACTAAGTTAGTGTAATAAACGTGAAATATATTCAACTTAAAAGAGAATTGAAAACTTTAAAACCTTGGTATAATCTTACAAATCTTTTTTTATGTGTCAAGTAGGTTCCAATTTTCTATAACAAGAGGACAAAGGGTCGCATTCCTTGCAAGTGTACCGAGGAAGCTGCTCAACTCTATCACCACATCATTACTAGGACCAACAGGCTGACTTTATTTAGTACAACCAATTTACGATCATGCCTTCCATGTACAGTTAACATCTTTGTTGGACCTCTTTCTCTTTTTTGTGTGGAAAAGTCTACAATAATACACAAATAAAGACAACCTCCAAATTAGTATTGTAATTTGATTTCATAATTAAAAAAGTATAGTAATATTATAAATAAAACCTAGATGTTCTTGCCTTGTTCTTCACATTGTTCATTTACTTCAATAGTAGTAGAATTCAATTGAACTTGTTCTTCTACCTCTGGATTTGGTGGTACATGTTTAGTTGATTCATCTTGTATATGGACTCCTACCTCTGGATTTCGTGGTTCTAGTAGATGTTGTTCTTCTATTACATCTGTTAGACGCTGGCCCTTTTCAATTGACCTTATCAAACTCGTTATATCATTTCTTCTTCTAGTTAGCAACAACTTCTTCAAATTCACCAAAGATATAGGTGTTCCAACTGGAACAGTTTCTCCTGTATCTTTATTCCTTATTCTTGAAGACTCTCGTTGTGCCATGACTAGCAAGTACTGCGTACTATATAAATAGAGATAAAAGGATAAGGAGTTAGACATCCCAAAAAATCAATAAGATAAAGCAGAATCAGAGAAAAGAAGATTACAGTCGCAATAACTTTTGTAACATGATAAGATGAACTAGAAAAAAGGGAGAAAGGATGAAGCATAAATCAGACTCACCGCTTCTTGCTACCTAATTCACCTAGTCTTTAGGAAGCACAAATCACTCAGCTAGTTTCAACATATGAAGCACTAAAGAGATCTCTATTAACAGCGAGAAAACCTAAAAAACTAGAAGTACACAATAATAATAAAAAAGGCAAGATCATAAGTACAAATAAGAAAATGCAATAGAGAAATTTCTGAAAAGTCCCTTCGTCAATAATCAGCCAGCATCCAATCCCAATCGGTATCATATAAGTCCTCATCATCATCAAAGTCCTCATCTTCTTCTGATGTTTCCATATCTTCTTCTATATCTTCTGAATGCAGATCATGAGTTGGCATATCAATGACATCACCAGGTACATCTTGTCCAACACTCTAAACTTAAAGTACTTGTCCAAAATTTAAAGAGAACATATACAGGGAAATGAAAAATCCTTTAAGAAGTAGAAAAATATGGAATCTGAAATATCCTAATGGTAGTATAAGTTATTATAGAGTTATCAAGATAGTAGTAAGACGGGATTAAATATTATGAAGTATTGAACGAAACTGTTGCTCTGGACAGACCATGAAAAATAGAGGTCGATGCCTATGTGTATTAGTACAAAGTTGTCTTTAATCCAATAGTAGTCTCATGAAATACATTTTTACTAACATTGAAAAATACAGGAGAACAAATTGCAGCTGGACTAGATTATATTTTTCTGCACTTAATTATTTTACAGAGGCCACATGTTGCTTTTACGTAGAAGACGTACACGTCTAACAAAAGCAATACTCATAGAGAAGTAAATCCAATAAATAAATAGGAAAATACAGGTTAATAAATACACAACCAATCTAAAAATGAAATAATCAGGAAAAGAGGGAGAATTAATTGTTCTATCCAAAAAGTAATTTCTCTATACTAGTAAAGATAATTGTATTCCATTAGACATTGTCGAACAGTCGATTCCCAATAATTTAGAAGTTAAACATACCATCCACCTCATTAAAATCTATTAACACTCCACATTCTAACGAGAACATGTAATACATCAGTTTGCACATAAGAAAGAATTCAGAAAGCATAACAAATTTTAGTCTATGTTGGCAAACAATATTCTTATACTAATGTGAAAAAGGATCATTACCTCCTTTTAAGTATTCAACTGATGCGACGAGAGCTTGATGACCAACTTATTGTTCGTCCACCAAAAATCTCAGAGAAGAAAGAAGAAAATACAAACTTAGAGCTTCAAATTTTACTCACAAGAGAAAAACTAAATCTCTTAGTGCTCGACTTCAATGACTTTTGTAGTTAAAAAATACATTAGTTCATCTTATTGTTAGAAAAGACTTATGGAGTTGAAAACTTTATCCCAGTGGTCAAAAGCTTGAGCTTTTTGATAGATAAAATCTATCATGTAGAATGAAGAATCGAAACCCATCTTCCATAACATCAACTCTTCCTAAACTAATAATTTCCAATATAAATTTCAAGTTTTCATCTAAAATTTTTGCAGAGATTTCTCAATCCAGACAAAAATTGAGATACACACTCTAAGACACAACAAGATTACACCATATACATAAATTCTAACAAATAGAATCTACTTCACAAAAACCCATTTGCCTATTTTAAGATATTTTTCAAGAACCCTTCTCAGAAATTTCTAATTTCAATGAAGATAGAATAGACATTACCTGTAGCTAGAAAAATGCATAACCCGCGAAGAAGAAGTCCCAGCATATGATAGATACCTACAAGGACAAAAAAAGAGGATTGAGAAGAAGATACACCATCTTCAAAGGAGAAGTGAGAAGTGACGATACCTACGAGGCTGAGCTTCTGATGAAATGGTCTCAAAGAGAGAAACCTATATGATATACATTTACACTTTTATTTTATTTTAAAAAATAAATTAGGAGAATCTTTTGGAGGGTCTAGTAAAATTAGTGGAGGGAAAATAATTGAGGGTAAGATATCCGTTGCAATACATTTATTTCCGTAAGAACCGTTGCCATAGAGTAGCCTACGGGGACGATTTTGTGGAACCTTTGCAATAAGAGACATTATGGCAACAGTTGTAGTGCTAATGCAACTATTTAATTCTAGAAGTGTTTCATTAGGTCATGTTGTCCATTGCAACGTTTATAACCGTGGCGAATGACTATCTATTGCAACATGTATTTAATCGTTGCTAAATAATTGTTGCTACAGGCATGTTTTCTAGTAGTGTTGGGAAAATCCAAATACTACAAAATTAGTTTTTCGTTCCCAAATTTCCCACCGTTGGCTTTTCTATAACGACGGGAACAGATCGTTACAAAGGAGCTGAGGGAATGGTGGATTTTCGGTCAAGATCACTGTCACGAAGTCAGAAACACAAGAATCGAAGCAAAAATTCCATGCAGCTTCTTGGCACCCAGGTAGGCTAGGTTTTATTAATTGAGTAGTTATAAATCTGTGCCCACTGCGTAGTATGATGATAATTAATGGTAGGATTTATGTGTAGGCCTTCGTACACCGAAATGAAAGATGATTAAATACTAGGACGAAGCCTTAGATGATGAACTAGAGCTAGGTATGGTCGAATTAATGTTTACGTGTTATACGTGGATAAATAGTTCTTTGGGATGGTTGGGATTCTATGATTGAGGGATGCATGTTCATTGTTGATACAAATTGATACATGTATGTATTCGACCATTGCATTGTTGATCACATTAATTGTAAACGAGCATATATGAATGATGATCGCCATGAATCATGACTTGTTGGTATGAAAATGAGAATATACTTGTGAATGTGATTGTGGCTTGTTGAATGGATCGGGTGTTGCTTTCCGACATACTAACTTGGATCGGTTGTCATGTTTCGGCATAATTATGGGATCGGTTGCCACGTTCCGGCATAATCATTGGATCAGGTACCACGTTCTTCTATGCTAACAGTTTAGGTTTGGGTTCCATGAGAGGACCAATGATTTTATATAATTGTGTATCTTGAGAAATGTTAAACTGTATCTTGTTCGTAAAAAATAATTGATGTTGTTTCCCCGGATTGTATATGATATGATGACCTATTTATGTTTGTTCTACTATGATGACTTAACCCGTTATGTATATTATTGTTTGAATGAAATTGGAAAGGCCAGGATTTTAGGGCATTAGTGTTGTGGAACAAGTGTTGTTCGTATGTTGCAACGGTGAGAAGTAGAGGTAGGGGTACGTGGTGTAATTACTCAGGCGAATGTTAAAGGGATTCAAAAGTGGTTAGTAGTAATACTATTAGTGAAACTCCGAGGTACTTGTGAGAGGGTAAAGGTTGAGAAGCAAGTGGTATATTGCATATTCTTACTAGTTGTTTTCTTATATTATGCGATGGGAGTCGGGTTGACCAATGATACCTACCAGTATGTGTGGTTGTACTGATACTACCCTTGCTATGCCTTAATGGCATAGTCTGGATGCAGGGTCGGTGATGTTTCAATAGGTGAAGATGAAGAATTCTCCAGTAGCTTCTATTTTTCCTTCCGCATGGTGGGAGTTGTGTCCTTTTATTAATATGTCATTTTATTAATATGTCCTTCTGTATTTTTAGTAGCTCTTGTACCTGTTTAGACTAGACTCTTGGGGGTGTTGATTACTTTATAGGTCTTAACCCAAAAAGTTTAAGAAGGTTTTCATTTATAAAACTCTATGATTTCATTTATCTTCGGTTTTTGTAAATTTTTCGCATGTTTAAACTAATGGGATATGAGGGTTCTCCTACTTAGGTGTTAGAGTGGGTGCCCGCACGGCTCGGTGGGTTGGGCCGTGACAAATTGGTATTAGAGCCCCAGGTTACCGGTCTCTCAGTACAAGAGAAAAATGTGGAATAGACTCCTGCGGATTGGTGTGTTAGCGTCCACATCTAATCTTCAGGAAGGTATGAAGCATTCTAGGAAGTTGTCTCATCTTTTCTCTCTTTTCATTCGAGTGTCGCTTGTGGTATGCGTTGAGTCCAATTAGTATCTCCCGATTCCAATTGGTATCTCAACAAAGTGGACTCGACATCGTGGTTACGACGGAAGGGACACAAGCAAGGTTAATTGGAACTGAGAAGGTTCTAATTGGTATCTGGCCTTAAGGGAAGTTTAAGGCATTAATGGTCTGAAAAGGTCATCTATGGAACAAACTAACTAAAAGGCGAAATTGTTGTGATGTGTCGTTTGTAACTGTTAATGCGTGCTTCTTGTCATTTGAAATAACTGTGACTATAAAGTGGGTCGTGTCTGAATTTGGTATGTGTAATATGTTAGCTAAATTTTGAATCTATGCAAGTGGTAACTACTTAAGTATCGTGAAGCCATTGAGGGGAGAAGTCATAACTAAGTTTGGTGTAAGAGTCTAGGTAGACTGCGATGACATTCGTAAAATTAAATCTGGATGTGTCCGAAATTTGACTAATAATAGTGTGAATGTCTGGGTGAATCATGGGAACGAGTGTGTTGTAGTGTTGAAGTAACATGAATAAATTTTGGAGCGTGTTCCTTGGATTGATTCGGGGTAGGAAACAATTATCCTCGCTAAGGGGGATTATTCAGTATGCCTAGATTTAGTCGGGGAATCTAAGGGAGATTAAGGTAGGAGAAGAAACCCAGAAAAATTGTTGGCAGGGGTTCTGTTTCCGTTAGGGCCGCTAGGGCGAGATTTTAGCGCCAAGGCAAGACCGCCAGTGCGAGATTTCTCCTGCCAGAGTGGGACAGGGCGAGACAAAATCTCAACCTGTCTCCCCTATTTTCCCAGTCACATATACAAACCCCGAATTATATCCAAACTAAACTCTGCAATTCAATCAGTGCTCAGTAATAGAATAGTAAGTCGTAACATTAGTAATTAAATATCGGCTATGCCAAAAAGCAAAAAATAACAAGCATCCCTGTGCTACAAAAAGGTAAGGAAAACATCAGAAAAATAAAGTTTTTTTCAAAATACAAGCCCAAGAGGGGCGAAAGAAAAAACAAATCAAGACCCCTCAGACTGGGAGGTGTCAACATCGGAATTGAGATCCTCTGGAGGTACCATGCCAGTCGCGGCCTCATCCTTAAAAGTGAAGTGCTGGAAGTCTCCCTTCTCTATTCGGGGAAGC